AAACTACTTGTATGGTGAAAGATTCGAGGTATTTTTAGATCACAAAAGTCTCAAGTACCTTTTCTCTCAAAAGGACTTGAACAACAGACAGAGACGATGGGTTGAGTACTTGGAAGATTACAACTTTGATTTGCAGTATCATCCGGGCAAGGCAAATGTTGTAGCTGATGCCTTAAGCCGAAAATCTCGTGGAACTTTGGCCAGTTTAGCTATTCGGAAGTGGAAGATGCTTAAAGATCTGGCAGAGATAGGATTACAGTGTTGTGATGATGATGGTTGCAATGAGTCGGCATTCTTATTTAGTCTTGTGGCTCAGCCTACTCTTGTTGTACGAGTGATTGAGTCACAGAGACAGGACCTGGACTTAGATGCCATCCACGCTTTGATCTCTAGTGGTGAGACAGTGAAAGATTGGGCCTTGCATGCAGATGGGGGTCTACGGTTCAGGGGTTTGTTGGTGGTTCCCACAGTTTGTCGTGAGGATGTCCTACGGGAGTTTTACACTTCCCGTTTTGCAGTTCATCCAGGTGGTACTAAAATGTATCACAATTTGAGACGTCAGTATTGGTGGAGAGGGATGAAGAATGATGTTGCACAGTTTGTGGCTAGATGCCTTACCTGTCAGCAGGTGAAGGCCGAGCATCAGAGGCCAGCTGGTTTGTTGCAACCATTACCTGTAGCGCAATGGAAATGGGAGCATATTGCTATGGATTTTGTGACAGGTTTTCCAAGGTCACGGAGGGGCAATGAGGCCGTATGGGTCATCATTGACAGATTGACCAAGACGGCTCACTTTTTGCCTATTAAGGCAACAGATGATGCAGAGAAGCATGGTGTTCTTTATGTGAAGGAGATTGTAAGGTTGCATGGAGTTCCTGTAACCATTGTGTCAGCTAGGGATGCTAAGTTCACTTCGAAGTTTTGGGAAGGATTTCAAGTAGCGTTTGGTTCAGCGTTGCATCTTAGTACGGCATTCCATCCACAGACGGACGGTCAGTCGGAGCGTATTATCCAGATTTTGGAGGATATGCTTCGGGCATGTGTACTTGATTTGGGAGGTAGTTGGGAGGATCACCTTCCACTTATTGAGTTTGCCTACAACAACAGTTATCAGTCGAGCATCCAGATGGCTCCATTTGAGGCGTTGTATGGTAGACCTTGTAGGTCTCCTGTTTGTTGGACTGAGGTAGGTGAGACAGCCGCCTTAGGACCCGACATTGTACTCGAGACTACTGAGAAGATTAAGTTAATAAGACAGAGGTTACTTACAACTCAGAGCCGACAGAAGAGCTATGCGGATAAGCGGAGACGACCGTTATCCTTTGAGGTGGGAGACCACGTTTTTCTACGGGTTTCTCCACGGAAGGGACTGATGAGATTCGGAAAAAGTGGCAAGTTGTCGCCACGATTTATTGGACCGTTTGAGATTTTGGACCGAGTAGGAGAGGTTGCCTACAGGCTTGCTTTACCACCACAGATGGATAGGGTCCACAATGTTTTCCATGTATCGATGTTACGGAAGTACGAGCCAGATCCATCTCACATTTTGAGTTGGGTTGATGTGGATATTGATGAGGATGTTTCCTACGAGGAAGGACCAGTTCAGATTCTTGACACACAACAGAAGGTGTTGAGGAACAAGACGATACCAATGGTGAAAGTCCTTTGGAAACACCACGGAGTCGAGGAGGCTACTTGGGAGCTCGAACAGGAGGTTCGGTCCAAGTACCCAGCGTTGTTTTCTTATCCAGGTATGTCTTGATTTCGGGGACGAAATCTTTTTTAAAGTTGGGGAGAATGTAAAATTTTTGACTTTTCAACTGTGGGGCCCACTTGAGTTATAAGGGTCATTGCAGACCTATTTAATTCCAATTTGTTTTCTCTCTCGGCAGCTCATATCTTTCTCTCTCGCTGCTTCTGCCTTTTTTCTTTTCTTTTCTTTTTTCTTTTTCAACTTCAATCCTTGATTCCATCTTCATTACTTACCGGATTTAGGTGTCGTTTGAGGCAAAACGACGAGTGTGATGAGCTTTACGTTCTAGTACCAGCAATTCCAGTTTTGCTACCTTCCTTGGAGCTCAAAAATTTAAACCCATTTCTAGGGTTTTGCCTATTTTGAGGTAGGGGCATCCTAATCCACTCTAGTCTTGTTATATTGTGAAATTTACCTCCATGTTGTATTAAATATGCTTAATTTAGAGTTAATTATATCTATGATGGTATTAATGATGTCTGGAGGGTTTTTCACAATCTTGAATATGGTTGGTTCATGTGCAAATTATATTTAGTTGTTGATTTCCTATGTTTACTATGTGCTAGCATGCTGAAATTGATGTATGAGAGTATGCTTATTTAAATTGCGCCAAATTTCCCAATTCATGATGTTGAGCTCATATATATATATACATGCACATGCTTAAATGTATTTTGTTGTATCTTAATGTGTTAATAATTACTTGGGAGATGTTGAACATGTTGAATGTTTAATTTTATGATTGAAAATTTTAAATGCCATGACATTGAATATATGGAACATATATACATGCACATACCATTGGGTTTGCATAAAATGAGAGAAATTGTTCTTGAAATAAATATGGGGAATTTCAGGAAAGTGTTTTTGATAAAATGGTTTTATGCGAAACCCGGTCGCTGCGGGGTTACCAACGGGCCGGAGGTTAATATAGCCTAGAGGGGACTAGGGAGTCGCCCTAGCGTGGTTGAGCTAGCTGGGCCCCATAATGACGCCGCGGGATTACCAAGGGTCAGGGACACTAGCCAATCCTCCTTTCGTGTCGCGGCGGGGTTACCAAAGGGCGGGCTGTATTAATGTTTGAAAGTGATGATTTTGAGAATGAAAATGGGGAGTGTCATTGACATGCATTGCATTTCATTTCATTGCATTGCATTGTTTATACTTGGAATTGACTTGTATGTTGTATTTGATCCCCTACGTTGTATGATCCCTATCTCCCATTGGCCTATGCTTTGCTTGAATTCACAAGGACACAAGATTTGTGTCTTAAGTGTCACCTACTGAGCATATAGCTCACCCTACTATTTATATATTTTTTTCAGGTCTCGGAAAAGAATCGGTGGACGACAACCCACCTCAAGCTTGAGCGATACTAGAAGCTCACTTTTGTGTCTTTTGTATATTTCCCATTATTTTTGCAAAGCACTAAAAGTATAAAGGTATATATGTATATTTTGCAAAACTTTGTCATGTAACCTTGTTGATGAATGGGAAGGATAATTTTAGTTAAAGTAATTATTGGTGTTATTTGATTGTGTATGATCATATACTGTTGCCGTGAATTCGGAAATTGAGCCATGATAGGTCAAAAAAGAATTTAAACAGGGTATGGTAGGCCTATTTTTAGGGGAGGTTATGCCGAATTTTTTGTAAAATTCTTGGCATCAGCTAGGGTTGTTACATATTGGTGCATGTTTCATATACAGAAATACAATGTAAGCATTAATGTGTACTGTTTGTTAAACAAAATGTATCAAATATAGAAAAATAGCTTCCAATGGCTCCTCTTCTGCCATTGTAGTAAAAAATAGCTAAGGTTACTTGAACATTTATCAGTTTTCAGCTCTCATCATATTTGTCTTAATTATATCACATTAATGGAAAAGGACCATATATATATATATATATTAGTCGAATAATTAAACCAGCTACAATATATAGTAACCCAACTTATATATAACTGGATATGAAAGTACTGTATCGACACAATTTGGTTACAGAATTGATGTTGATAATGAAATGACGACAAAGAAGATGACAATGAAGGTCATGAAGTGATAGATGGTGTGGTCCATCGGTGTTTATAATAGATGGCTGTGAAAACTTTATGATACATCATCAACTATATATACATCAGTAGTACCAATCAGGATAGCAAAACGACAACTAGTCCCATACAGGCCAGGCATCAACAGTTGCTAACGAATCTAACCCATACATGCAAACAATTTTAATTAATAGGTGGGCCTCATGAATTCTTATGTGTACTAGTGTGTGTGTTTTTTAAAAAAAAAAAAAAAAATTTACGGGTGTCTAATCTTAGTCTTTTTTTGGGGGATGATGATAATAGAATGGTCTAAACTTCTGAGATAAGAGATTCTTATAAACTAACATAGGGAATGACATAATATGAATATATATATATATCTACACACACACATAGCCGGACCGAGTAAGGGGGGCAAAAATAAAATTTTATTTTTTTACAATTTCAGTGGAGCAATGGTAAATTTTCAAAGGTATACAACAAAAATTAAAACTACTTAATGCTATATATATATATATATATATATATATATTCAGGGGGCCAATTGCTCTTTCGGTCCGTCTCTGTGTGTATATATATATATATGTATATATAAAGAAAATTTAAAAAGAGTTTATATTGTGAATTCTATATTATTTGTCAAATTAATTAGGAAGAGAAGTGAGAATGCTGTATGTTTAATTATTGGGGGAGAAGGATGTCTCCAAAAAAAAAAAAAGAGGGGAATAACCTAGTGCAAGACTCCGTGGTTTCAAGGTCTGGAGAAGGTTATCTTCTGATAACTATAAACAAAAAAAGGGACTTTTTTTAATTTAATTTTCAGAAAATTGCATAAAAACAACTTTTTATACGGATTTCTGATTTTCAGTTCTCTGAAAATAGAATAGTATTTTCAAAAGACAGAACCAAACAAGCTCTTTTGTCACTCTTTTGCACATATTATAGAATTCAAAACCTGCTATATATTGATCACATTGCGACATGTCTATAGTGGCAAATTATTCTCTTCCTCTCTTGGGTAGCATATAAAGCATTCAAAATTTTTACCCTACACTATGAAAAAACCAACTTCAACATTATTTCGGAAGTTAACACATTATTGAAATGATTGAAACGATGACTTGTGTCACTCAAAGAATACTCTAGTTTCTCCGAGTATCAGAAAAAATATTGAAATTTCATTTATTACATGCCACAGTTATTAAGTATACTAAAAACTTACAAGCAATGGTTTCTTTTTCAATCAGTCCAACATATATATATATATAGATATATAAGCATCCCCAGAATTATTCTTATGCTTTAGACCACAGCTACAAATTTTGCATCAAATAGCTTATGACAAGTGACATGAAAGGTTTACCTTGTCAATTGATCACCTGTGACTTCATAACTTCAACAATCAAAGCATCCACCCCGGGAAAATTCTATCAGCAGCTTGTGTCGAGCTTCCAACATTCAGTTGATGTTGTGCCGTGAAATTGAAACTGCAATATGTGTAATGCAAGGTAAAAGAGTGGTTAACATGATATTAGAACAGATGCGTTGTGTGATGAGCCTAAGTACACAAGAAGGGGCATGTTCGTGGAGGATGTAAATATATACGTACTTAAGTATTTAGAAAAGTTGTTTGTTAACTATGCATCTTTAAGGAGGTGAAACATACCCTACTTGCGGTGTGTTATTGCATTCTAGAGGCTCGAGAAACGGCTCAGAATGTGCAGCAGGATGGCATCTATACGAGGCATTGTGCTCTCCTGCTTCCCAAGATGATTGAGGAGCTTCAGCATTTTCTCCCAACTGTGAAAAACAGAAATTTCAGATCTTTAGTAAATTAATGTACTAATAAATCCATTAATGCACAATAAAATTCGTCGCATACATTCAGTGTTTTCAAAAGGTTTGCTGACTAAAACCATAAGTAGAGTAAATTGTTAGTAAAATAAAATAAAAAAAACTTGCAATTTAAAACTAAAAAGCATATTGACAACCATTTTGTTTTGGAGTGGTACGAGTCAGTTGAGCCTGTATTATGATTCTGTATAAAGTTCATGTTTCTATAGCATGTAATATTGCTAGACAGTGTCAGATTTCAATACCTTCTTTTTTAGGGCTATGTTAACCTCCAGTAGTGCTTGTTCCTGTACAAGCTTCACTGTTAGTTGATCTTAACAACACACAGATAATATATATAACATTGTGTATCTAACATATACCTTCTTTTCAAGATCAGAAAGTTGATCAAGCATATATTGTGTCTGCAAAAACATGATAAATTAAGGAGTAAAGATCCTGTAAAGGAACATTATTACATCTCTTGATATAAATTATTCAAAAAATGAGCTAAAATATTTACACCAAACGAATGGAGCTTGAGAACAAGGAAACGACATCCTTTCAGTCTAGCACAGAGCCACAAGGGCTCGTTTGCTGCCTCATGGAAGTATAATATAGTTGATAGAAAGTATGGAGAATGATAGTACTGTACGCCTTACTTCACGTTCGCGGATCCAATGGTAGGAGTAATGGGTATTTTTATAGGAGTATATTGGGGGTAGTTTTTATCATTCTTAACTTCTGTTTTGCTCATCATCACAGTGAAATCTCTGTGGTTTTGTGAGCATAACCTTAGTTTTGGGTGAACACGTAAACACATATATATTTTTTATAGCAAACCACTTAAAAATGTGTGTTCTTACTTGTGTTTTCGTGTTCTTTTTCAGTTAATGTTTGCAACATTAGTCACTTCATTTTAGTGCCAATAGTAGACTTCATTGGAATTGATAAATGAAGTACAAAATGTTAGAGTGTTTCTCAAATTCATCATAATGCTTTAATTAAGGTGGAGTTATAAGGAGATCTTTGATTGAGGTGGAGCACGTAACATATTTTGATCACGTGTTACGTGAAGGATTTGGGAAGCTAAATGGTTTTTATGTTTTGGCCACTGACGTGTTGGAATCAGTTTAGAGGTTTTGGTACTGGTTCCACTGAGTGATAACCAAATCAATAAACATTGAAGATCAGCCACTGTCCAATGAGAACCGGTAGCCAAATTGCTGAACCGGTTCAACTTGGACAGGGAGTTGGAAACTGCGGGAAACAATTACCTAATTGGTTTTGGAAGCCAGAAGATTTGGGGAAGAAATTATATATCTATTTTAGAGTTGGAAACTAATATGGTAACTCTTTGTAGGTGTTGGAGACTGATATGGTAACTTCTTGTAGATAAATTAATCCTTGTCCAACAAGGATTTGAATTTGAAGACTCTATAAATAGATATGTGTATGAGAGAGAAAATTGTAAAGAGAAAAAGAGAGTTGAGATTGTGAGAGAGAGAATAGTGTGTAATCAAGTTTTTGAAGTAAAGTTAGTTGTTCTTCGCCTGTGGACCAGGCAATTTGCCAAACCACGTAAATCTCATTTTTTTGTTTGTGTTTGATTTTTTATCTTATATTTGCCAATTGTGTGTGTGAATCCCTAACACAAAAGTGGCTTGGGATAGTGTATGCAATAAAAAAAAAAATTTTAAAAACTAGGATTTTTTTTTTAAAAAAAAAAAAAAAAAAGAATAAGAAAAAGAAAAGCCTAGGATTGAAGGAGGTTTATATGGGAATTCCAAGGCTCTGATCAATTTGGAACAAAATGGCTTTTTATTTAGTGTTTTTCAGTCCTTGGTTCACTCTTTTGTCAACTTGTCTTCCCTTTCCTCTCCTTTTTCATCCCAGGAGGAATTAGTTGAATGGAAACCTTCTCCAAACACAAAGTTTTCCCTCTCTCATTCTCTTAAAGTTATTGTTTGTGTGTGTTTTGTAGTGATGTTGAGTCTCATGATCACCTTTTCTTAAAAAGCCCTTTCTCTTCTTATATTTGGAACTTCTTACAATTCAAGAGTCGCTTTCATGTTGGTTCTTCCAATTGAATGAATTTTTTGTTTGGACTTCTTCAAACTGGAAATCAAAATATTGTAAAACTCTAATTTACAAGCTATTCCTCTCAAGTTGTGTATACCATATATAGAGGGAAAGAATTGCAAGATATTTTGAAAATTTTAGCTCTTCTCGTGCTGCAGTTTCTCAGGCTATTTTTATCAGTTGGTTTTTTTTTTTTTTGTTCTTTTTTGAAAATTTGTCTGATGTTGAACATATCAAAACGACCTATGTGGACATTAAAACAACAGTACTTTTTTTTATTTATAAAACAACAGTACAATTTTAAATAGATTATTATCACTGAAGACAGTAAATAATATTGATAAATAGATAGATTACCTTTGTGGACCTAATTTGCTTCAGGGATTTTTCCAGTTGACCCTCAAGTTGCTCGAGCTCCTTTGTGTTCAACGGTCCCAAATCTTCCCCAAGGAAATGTCTAAAATGATCCCCCAAATTCAATTTGATATTAATAATGGTAAGATGTTTTGGTACCAAAGAATGAGAAACAAAAATGAAAAATTATAATTGTTCCATATTTAATAAAGAAATTTGGAGTACTTTGAATCAAACAAGTAACCGTATATGATCACAAGTGGTATGGTATACAGTGTAAGTGATGTACTATATTGGTAATTTACCTCTGAGATTGTTGTAAGACCTCTACTCTTCCTTTGAGCCTCAAATATTGCTGATACATGCCCTGCTAGGTTGTATAAATAAACATTAGTAAAAATATGGTTGTGTACCACAAAAAAACAACTAAAGAGCAAAAGAAGAGAATAAAAAAACTACCTGTGTATCCATGTCAGGTTGGTTTGCTTCCAGGGCACCATAACTGCATCTTTGATACCTCTCCAGTGTCTTGGCCATGCTAGAATAAAGGCAGAAATCAGTCAGCAGGACAATCAGATGCTAATATCTTTTATTTTTTATTTTTTTTTTATTTTTTATCACGCAAGTACTCACACACTTTTGTCCACCCGCGGACTCAAATACCTCCCCCTCTTTGAGGATGGGGAGGTTATTTCATTGGCTAGATTGTTGCGACCAGATCAAATATATTAGTCAGAACATTTAGATTTTACGTGGTTCACTCAAAACTTAGGGTTACACTCACGGGTTGCAGTATTTCACCATGCATAGAAAAAATGGCCAAACAATACGAAGAGTCTAGAAAAAATAGATACAATAGCACTAGGGCAACATAACAAGTACAGAATACACAAATTGGATCCACAAAATTGAGTTAAGGTATACAATATTTATCAGGCTCCACACTTTCCGTCATAGAGGACCTTTGGTGAGATGCTTTAGCTAAATATATCTTGAGTTTTGATGAATACAAATTTTGTTTTTCTTCCCAATTTGATATTAACAGTGCACTTTGAGCTTCTCAAAATATATTAAAATGCACCTCTTTTCTATTCCAAGGTTTAGGATCAGAGGAAAAGCATATATGATGAATGATTATAACAATTATTAGACTATAGGAGATCTTTCACAACAGAGAATTTAAAACTGCAATTTGTTTTATCTCAGGGACTCAAATTTTTGGTAAAGAGAAAAAAACACCATAATTGTGGAATACCATCATTTCATTGAACCATAATTAGGAGAAATATTTTGATGTTTTTGTTATATTGATGATATAATATCACCAACTAATTAAATCCTAACACGGATAGAACTCATTAGATGATTAATAGATTTTTTTGTTATGTGGCTAGATATAATTAGTTGATAACACTGACACCGTCTTTCTCCATCATTAGCTCTCGCTGAATAAATCTAATTTCATGAAAGTTTTATGCGAGAGCCTAATTGTCCCACCATTCAATTAATTAAACCAGCCTTTTACTAAGTACATTGGCAATGGAGGACATAAATCTAATGGAACAGCCAAAAAGACAGTAGAACTAGACCAGATTTTCTGACAGTCGAGCCTGGACTTCAAACTGGGCACTAACACCCACTTTGTCTAACCTTTCTAACCATGGATCAAGACCTTCTCTTACATGCTAGAAAATCATCTTGCAAAGATTATCTTACAATGATCACATGATGGAGATAAAGATCACTTGCAACATTAAAAATAAAATAAAATAGAAATCACAGTAAAAATTTTCGACACTGGACATTGGGAAAACGCGAGTCACATAAAAGGAAGATTTCAAAACCAAGGTGGGTTCATAAATTCGTATGGTCCTGGCAAAACATTTTTGTTCTACCTCAAAAAAATGAATTACTAGTTCTATAATAGCAATGATTTCAGAGACATTAGAGAGCAAAACAAGAAGCTTTTATTCTTAGAAACCTCTTCACCAAAGGACATCATAAACAATATTTTCGGCTTCTGAAATGTAAGATTGAAATCAATCACCAACAATTAGTTATCTTTGATAACAGATTTGAATATCACTTAAAAGGCTAAACTCCACATAAAATGCAGTAACATTCTAGGTGTTGATAACTTCACTTTTCTCGTAATGCTAAAAGCTTAAAATTCATTATATATATATATACACACACACTACTCATTTTTAATTACAATTTAAAAACTTCAGCACTTAAAATTCAACTCTAAAAATTTGTCGGTTTTAATTTTAAATTTCATCGAACACCTTCTTCTCTTACAAAATAAAGTAAGGAGTTACGCTTTAGTTAGCATCGGCATTTCACCTTCTAATGAATAAACACACATGACATACTTTCACACACAACATGTGTTGGGGCTTGATACACTTGGAGTAATTGGTGATCTAACAGTGTACATATCACCCAAGAATCAAGGTGGATTGGGAATCAAGGTGGATTCCCAGAATTAGATTTGGTCAATAGTGTTGCAAACCTTAGGCACATTTGGAACTTGTTTTCTAACAAGCATGAGAGCCTATAGTCTTCTTGGATTCACATGTATCTCATTAAAAATAAGAGTTTTTGGATAGTTAAAACCATTTTTTTTTTCTGACAAACTAGGTGGATGGGGGACTCGAATATGGGTACACCAGCTCAGGGAGCTGGGCACTCTACCAAGACCACTGAGTAATGCCCTTAAAGCAACTCCAATCAATTCAGGTTTACAAAGGAAACTTCTAAAGCTCAAAGACATGGCTAGAGGTTTAATTAGGCATAAAGTGGGGTGTGGCTCAGACACTATGTTGTGGATGGATTATTGGCTTCCAAATGGACCATTAATCAATCAAATAAGCTCCGCTTATATGAAAATTCTTCAACTCAACACTTGTCACATTTGATAGCCTAATTTTCAACATGGTCTATTAATTCCTCCAACCCAACCTATTCTTTACCTTCATAGTCACAATTCACCAACCAGCTCAATTCCATTCCTTCTACAGTGCAGAAAGGGACTCAGTTATATGGACAGTCTCTCCCGCTTCTTCTAGTTCCTTCTCCTACATCCTTTCTTGTCTCTCCTCTCATGTATCCCTTTTGTTACGAACATTAACAGATATTAGATCAACACGCAAGAACGCACAAATTTTACCTGATTTATTCAAAGAATTAAAACTACGTGCATGTGTTATAGGGATTAAACTTTGTTCGGAAAAACAGCACACGGAAAGTTAATGAAATAGATACCCTCACATTTGAGCAACCTAACAAGTGCGAAAAATACCAAAATACCCCCCATCAGCAGTAGGCTTACTTTTGTTAAATTGCAAAACAGATCTTCTCAGTCAAATCAACAACCAATGGGATCTTCATAGCCTAATGATGCATGGTAACTCTCTGGTAGCTGGACAGAAATTGCTCTTGGACTCTTAAGAGCTGTTCTTTCTTCACTCATCTGTTGGATTTTGGTTTTTCTTGTTTCCTTTTGTTCCTATTACATAGGTTGTGCATTCTTCAGAGTAGGTTGTTTGCTTTTATTTGTGGTGGCCAATTGCCTCTCTCAGAGCTTTTGTACAATTTTCCCTCTTTTTTACTTTTATTTTTTTATACTTATTCGAATTTTAAGTATTCAATGTTCAGTAATAAGTGAAGCTTATTTCACTTAAAAATTTAAGTAAAACTTACTCTTACAAGTGGTATCTAAATTGCATTATTCAATGCACTAAATTAAATACGCACTTAATTTATCAGAATTATTAAACGTGTTTGATGAATTTCACTTAAAATGAAATAAAATTTCAAGTGATTGAGACTTCGCTCATCATTCAACAATAAACACATAAAATTCAATGAAGTATCAAACACTTCAAACTTCAGCACTTTAAATTTTGCTCTTAAAGTTGACAGTACTTGTAACTTAATCAAACACCACCCAAGTCATATCAGCTTAACATTCAATTTTTCAAGTTTATGTGCATTGCAGTTCATAGAAATTTAGTGAAAACCGAGGACAATAATTGAAAAACATCATCTTTATAAATTCAATAAAATACATTAAAAACTAAAATTTAGTATAAAACATGAAGACACTCTCACTATGAGTTTGTGCCCTTATTATTATTACTATTATTTTATGTAAATGGGTAAGCTGAATTAATAAAAGGTAGAATGTACAGAAGATCCTGCATAGTTTACAAAGCCTTGAAGACAGGACAGGGCTGCTCAAAAGGACAAATAAAGTAGAATGACAAAGCCTAAGAACAGGCAAAGCACTAGCAAGATGAACATTCACATCCTTAAAGAATTAAAGAGCCAACTTTGTCCAGTGATCTGAGCCAAATCAAGCTGCAGAAGATCATGAAGTTCCCTTTCATTCCCGCATTATTATTATTATTATTTTCTCAAAAATGACTGAAATGAAAATTTATTAAAGAATAATTACAACAAAGAACTTTTGCACTATTAAAGCAACAGTGCAACATTGCTACATCACGTATGTAATAACAATGTAACACTCATACAAAATATTTACATCGAAAATGCAACACCCATAAAAGCAATGCTGTCAACTACTAAACCAAGAATTCAATACTTTTACATAATTATTGCATTGTAGATTTAAAGTTGTTACATTGTCAAATTAAAGTTATTGCATTGTTGATTTAAACGCATAGGATGACATGGTAAAAAGAAAAACGGGAGAGGATCCTGATCCGGGCTACAAAAGATCGATGGAGATGGCTAGAAACAAAGGCTAATGCGCATCTACTTAGGAGAAACAACAGATGTGAGTGCCATCAACCTTCTAGTCCTCAGCATGCATGAACAAGCTAAAGAATGAATTTATGCTAAGGGATGGAGTGATGATAGTGATGTTGGCTGTAGTTTCAACCAACTAAATAAATTCTAAGTGAAGAGAGGAGAAAAATGGGTAAACAAATATTTTCTGTATTGTATTGAACTCTTTGTTTTTGTGTTGATCTCTAAACAACAAATACCTTACCCTATATATACTATTCTCCCATAGACCTTTGAACTTTTCAAGACAATCTCAACCACACACATGATACATGCACTCACTTGATACATGTACACTTTTGATACATGTATCCACTTGATACATGTACAATAACAGATGCATGAATGAACATATACATGAATGAATATGGCATTAATTATTTTTAACACACCCCCGTTAATACCATGTCGTGACACCCAACAATTCTCTAAAGTATTCAAATTTATTTTTTGGAAGTGCTTTGGTAAAAATGTCTGCAACTTGGTCTTCGGTCTTGCAATACTTGAGTTGAATCTCATCCTCTTCCTCTTCTTCTTGAATTTCTTCCTTACCACTTCTTTAATTGCATTTTCAAACCTCTTCGGCTCAATAACACAAAAATTGCAACTTGCATACACATCACTAAGACTTTTCATTCTTCTTGGAGTTGAACTTGGAGATGAGGAATTTGAGTTTGATGGAGAAGTTGGAATTGATTGTAAGCTAGATACGGAAGACATTTCTTGTGGAACTTCAAGAAAATCTTCATTTTCATTTTTTTGATTTCCTGATTCTTCATTGAAAATGGAGATTTGATCTTAAACTTTCTTCTCTTTCTAATCCCAAGTAGCCTTCTCGTTAAAGAGAACATCTCTACAAATAATCAATTTATTCTTCTTCAAATTAAAGAGTCTATAGCCCTTTGATTTTGAGCTATAACCCACAAAGATGCATTTTTCACTAGCTTCATCAAGTTTGTGCCTCACTTCTCTTGGAACATAAGCAAAATAAATACACCCAAAAACTTTCAAGTGATTCAATATGGCTTCCTTCCACTCCATGCTTCAAATGGAGTTTTATTCTCCACCGCTTTTGTTGGACTCCTATTCATCAAGTAAATAGTCGTATATACAGCTTCACCCCAAAATGATTTAGGTAGCCCCTTCTTATGTAGCATTGATTTTCCATCTCAATGATTGTTCTATTTTTTCTTTCTGCCGCTCCATTTTGTTGTGGAGTGTACCCAACCGTTAATTGTCTCTCTAAGCCAATATTTTCACAAAACTTTTCAAAGTCATTTAAGTTGTATTCTCCACCTCTATCACTTCTTAACACTTTGATAAGATGGCCACTTTGCCTTTCAACAAACCTTTGAAATTTTTTGAAAATAGAGAACACGTCTGATTTTTGTCTCATGAAATAAATCCATGTCATTCTTGAAAAATCATCAACGAAAATAATAAAATACTTGTTACCCGCTTGAGTTGGTGTTGTCATCGGTCCACACACATCGGTATGAACAAGCTCCAATGGTGTTTTAGCCCTCCATGCCTTCTCTTTCGAAAATGACTCTCGGTGATGCTTGCCAAGAGCACAACCTTCACAAACTTCTTTAACTTATTGTATTGTTGGCAGCCCATACACCATGCTATTTTGTTGTAAATTCTTTAAGTTTTGGAAATTCAAATGCCCAAGTCTTCTATGCCAAAGCCATGACTCATCAACAACATCCATCTTCAAGGCCTTATTTTTTGAACATGAAAAAGTGAGAGGAAAGCTTCTATTTTTGCCCATCTTGATTTTTGCCACAATATGATTTTGTCCTCCCTTGTTATAAATTTTGCAAGAGTCCTCATCAAAATGAATGGAGTACCCATACTCTACAAGCTGTCCAACACTTAACAAATTTTGCTCCAAATCCGGAACAAGTAACACATCCCAAATATGCTTTCCTTTTTTTTTTTGTCTCTATGGCAATAGTACATTTTCCCTTTGCTTGGACCAAGGCACCGTTTCCCATCCTCACTTGAGAATTTGATAAAGAATCAATCTCCAAGAATATATATTTATCTCCAGTCATGTGGTTACTACACCCACTATCAAGAAACCACACATCATCCTTTTGTTCTGATGTCGTGTGACAAGCATAAAACATGCTCGCTTCACCTTCTTGCTCTTCGGAAAAATTAGCTTCTTGATTTGTTTTCAACCGGCAATCTTTTTGAACATGTCTAAATTTCTTGCAATTGAAACATTGAGGTTTTCCCCGAAACCAACAATCTTTGTCAACATAGCTACTTCTCTTGCAAATTCCACAATTTTGTTGAGTGGACTCTATATTTCCACTTCTCTCAAAATTATTTCTTCCTCTTGAATTTCTTCCTCTTCCTCTTCCGTGTCTTCCACCTCTAGAAGATTCATTTTTGGATCGATCAAAACTGGATGGGTATTTTTCTTGGTTTTTGGAACTAACATTGTGCTTGGATTGAAAAGCACTTTCAATTGTCTTTTCGGAGCGCCTATTCAACCTTTGCTCAAATGCTTTAATGGAACCCATCAATTCTTCAACACTCAAGTTTTCAAGCTCTTTAGTCTCTTCAATAACAGCAACAATAGAGTCATATTTTTCTAGCAAACTAACTAGAATTTTTTCAACAATTCTTTGATTAGAAATTTCTTCCCCATAGGTCTTCATCTGATTTACCACCTCTATAAGTTTAGAAAAATAATCTTTCAACAATTCCATTTCTTTCATCTTCATATTTTCAAAATCTCTTCTCAAAGATTGAAGTTTTATAGTTCATACCTTCGTGCTGCCTCTATACTCCTTCTCGAGGATATCCCATGCCTCCTTTGCTTTAGAAGCATTGATAATTCTGGGAAAGATTGTATCAGCAACTTCTTGTTGAATCAAGCCTAAAGCTTTTGCATCTTTCTTCTTGTGATCTTTCAATTGTTGTTTTTGGGCATTCGTCAAAGTTGTTGTATCCTCCGGTTCATCATACTCATCTTCAACATAATCCCATAAATCATATGAAAGAAAAATGGTCTTCATCTTCACATACCAAAAATCATAATTTTCCCCATCAAAAATGGGAAGTGTTGATTGATGGGCACCTTGGTTTTGATTGCCTATAGTCGCCATCACGATCGATCTTCTTCGGGGTTTGTTTTCTCGTCAATAAGCTTCATGCCTAGTTTGCTCTTAATCGAAATCAAGCTCTGATACCACTTATGTTGGCTGTAGTTTCAACCAACTAAATAAATTCTAAGTGAGAAGAGGAGAAAAATGAGTAAACAAATATTTTCTGTATTGTATTGAACTCTTTGTTTTTGTGTTGATCTCTAAACAACATATACCTTACCCTATATATACTATTTTACCATAGACCTTTGAACTTTTCAAGACAATCTCAACCACACACATGATACATGCACTCACTTGATACATGTACACTCTTGATACATGTACAATAACAATGCATGAATGAACATATACATGAATGAACATGGCATTAATTATTTTTAACAAGTGAACCAAAGGCTAGTTTGGGCTGTCATTATTGTTTTTTTGTTTTATTAATAGTTGCAAAACTTACAAAATGTGTAATGTTTAATTCATGTCGTGTCCTCACCATCACAAACAAAACCATTACAATTCTTGTTTAAAACATTGCATCGGCCAAACCAAGTCGAAAGGTCAATATTTGGACTGTCAAACTACGAACGGTTAGAATGCTAAAAAACATAATCATTGTTATTGCAAGTTGGAGGATAATTAATGCTCAAATGGTTCTGCAAAATTCATCTTGACATGAAGAAGAAATCATCTTTGCTATCAATGACTTTTTTCCTTTTTTTCTTTTTTTTTTTTTTTTTTTTTTAAATGCCAGGAGTTGAGTCTTAACTACAATATAAAAACACAAAACGTTGCTTGAACAAGTTGCTTTGTTCTAATGAATTATGAATAATCCAGTCATTGTTCTGCAGTGAGAAATCGCCCACTTCCATGTTACGAAGATACATCTTAGAGTATATATATATATATATATATATATATATATATAATACAATGACTGCCTGCAAAAAATGGGCTTGCTTTCTACCAGTGTTTGAGCATTCTGACAAAGGAGAAAGAATTGAACTTCAGGTTCACTTAAATTAGAGTTCTTGATTGCTAAAAATAAGCAAGCGATTTTTTTGGGGAATATATATATATATATATATATATATATATATATATATGCGAACTTTTTAACTGTTTTAATTTTCTGGTAAAGGTAATGATATGTGTATACAAACATATATGTAACTGTTTTAACAAAAAAAAAAAAAAAAAAAACATATATGTAACTGTACAATAAATAAAGGCCATCAAAACGCCATTCAAAGGCCTAAAAACATGATAAAAAGCAACAACCAGCACCACACCAGGCAATAAGGACATCCCTAGAATCAAAATGAACCAAACTGAAAGGAATCTAAGAGAGAGAACCAAAATAATATTGAAATTAATTAATTGATTTCTGTAAATATAATATTTATTATTAGAACTCATTTTTGTTTTCTCCTAGAGAAAATTAGGACTCAGCATTTGATATTCATATAATGCCCCATTTTCTTCTAATTCTCGAGCAGAGTGCAGTATGATTTGCTTATTGATTCTATTGACACACACACACACACACACAATATCTGAGAATTTTCTATTTCAATGCATGGATTTTTAAGTAGTTTTCTTTTTTACTTTAATTTATATTATTAAGTTATTCCCATTTAATTTACAAAGCAATATGAATTCAAAATTTTGAAAATATTTCAAAATGTTTATCTTTTCACCTATCTAACAAATGGATCTGCTTCAAGATTTTTGCCATATGGAAAAGAGTAGCATTAGATATCACGAAAAATCATAGTGTAAAAATTAATATAACGATCGACTGTTTTAATACAAATTTATCAATTGATGTAGGATATATTTTCCCTCCTACATGAGTTATAATTTATACATTATATTTGAGATTTTGCAACTCGAGAAGGTTTTTAAAAAGTTTTTATTTTTATTTATTTATTTATTTATTTTAAAGTAGGATGAATATACTTTATATCTATTTCCCATTTCTGAACATAACAATAAGTAGTTCCATCATCCAAATTAGGTTCTTATATAAAAGAGCAACCCTAAAAATAAAAAAATAAAAAAATCATGGCATAGAAGTATAATAATTTAATTTATTCATCAAAGAAAGTAAAGCAAGTAATCACCAATGATATACATTATATGAATTTTCCAATTCATGTAAATTATACTTTTCCCACTTTTATATATATATATATATATATTGGAGATATAAAGTGTAATACTTGTAAAAAGTTTACATCCAGTGATTTCTTGATCGGACACTTAAAACTCTTATAGCATGAACTTTTACCATCCCACCAAGCAAAAACCCCTTGATATACATATTGAACATATATATATCTTTTAGTTTAATTGTTTTATATTAACTATATACCTATAGGAAATTTACATTTTCTTCCATTTTTTTTTTTCATGACCATTTTTTGCTGACCTATATGTAGTCTTTCATAAATGTTATCAATGATTCATATATGTATTCAGTAATAAATACACACATATTACATATACTTTTTTATTTTGCTTTTATTATTTTATTTTATTTATTTGTGGGTTAAATTTAAGTTTTCTTCATATACAATCAAAGTTCAATTAAAATAAATAAAATGATTCGAAAAAAAAAAAAAATCTCCAGTTTCGAAGCTAGTTGTGTCAAGACTTTTGGGTGTTAGTTATAAATTGACAATCTGAACAAAATAGTTGTCTTCTGACTCAGATCTCATAGTATCGTAGAAAATCAGATCTAACTTTCTACTTATGGTGGCATCAAACAACATAAAACACCATCCAATATTGAAAAACCTAAATCAACCATACATACCTAATTTCCCATTTGACCATCCCTTGCCTAAATAGAAATGGAAAACACAAAATACACACACATATATAGTGATATATATATAGAGAGAGAGATCTAGAGAGAGAGAGAGAGGGATAAATGTAAAATACCTAGAGGTGCTGCAGAACTCATAGAGCTTGCCACGGTTGGAGAAGATGATGAGGGCAACCTCGGCATCACAGAGAACAGAGAGCTCATAAGCCTTCTTGAGGAGTCCATTCCTTCTCTTAGCAAAGGTCACTTGTCTATTTATCTTGTTCTCGATCCTCTTCAGCTCCACCTTTCCTCTTCCCATTATTATACTATTATAGTACCAGTACTGTAATAACCAATCTCATGGTAATTCATATCACACATAATTATCAACAATATATGTATATATATATAGTTAGCTAAAGCACAAAAAGATCACAGTACTAACCAATAAATGATGATCCAAATAAATATATAATATATATATGTATGTATATGTAAAGATACAGATATATATATATATATATATTGAAATTGTACTATATATGTATATTTTGTTACTGTTTTTCTTCTTCTCTAGGGCGTGAGTCTAATTCATTTGTGGGTAGGTCTTAGGTTTGATGATGTACTCAGCAGTGTATCTATCTATGTGTGTGTGTATATATATAAATATAAATATATATCTATATATACACATAAAGAGAGAGAGAGAGAGAGAGAGAGAGAGATTTACATAGATGGAAACCTTGTGGAGTACTACTCTTATCTCTCCTTCCTAAGTTTGGGTTTGGAAGCTATGCCTTTCCTGTCCATATAAAAAGAAAAGGAAACAGTACTGTTCTTCTATAATTGTCTGGTTTTATTTTCTTTTTCTTTTTTTTCAGTTTATTTGGGGGCCATAATTTTAAAATTTGTTTATTTATGAAAAAAAAAAAAAAAAAAACACCCTTATACTTACATAAATACCTACTATATGGACATTACTCGTATTAATCGAGATTATATATACGTGTTATGCTGGAGAGATAGATAATTGACACTCGTATGTCTAGAAAATTGTGAATATATAAGGTATAAAATATGTAACGATATTTTAACCCAAAAAAAAATATTGAACGGTATCTAATTACAAATATTGTGGTGGTGATTACCTTTGTATGAATTTTCTTGGCAAAAAAAATAATACTAGTACTTTACTTATAATATATACACACACACACTTGTACAGTATGCCTTTGTATATTACTTTTTCCTTCAAAATCGGAAATGCTTTACGTCAACGCCGAAAAGAAAATTGTTTCAGAACTTTGGGGAGCTAACGTGTCGACCAGCTATTGGGGAATCTAATTGACCCTTACCAAATATTTTCTATGACGTTTATGTCCCTAATTGGGTTAGAATATTACAAGGTGCGCTTTCTTGTCAATAAGGGCACGAGGAATAGCACAAAAATCTATCTTCTCTGTTGTGATTCTAATAAGCAGAGTCCAACGACTCTGGTCAACTTTTAAAAATAATAAAATCCTCAATTATATTATGTTTGTATAATCTTTAGCATTGTGAATTATACACTATTGAACAAATTTTTTATTTTTTCGATATTATATGTACACTTCTTTTTTCATTGTACTTGAAAGTTATGAGTTTAAAACAAAAAACAATTTAATAAGATTGTGTACATCAAATTTTCTTTTGACTCGTAATGACGGACTAATTCTTATTTATGTATCCAAAGGTATAGAAAATATATGAAGTATAGAAAACATCTGAGATATAGACATATATAAGGGGCGGTGGCAAGGGTAGGCCAGCAAGGCCCCCACAACCCAAAAATATATATATATATATATATTAACTTTTATTAGTACGATCTAAAATGAGAAATAGTATACATAAATGCATACTCTCCCCCCCCTCCCCACCCGAAAAAAAAAAAAAAATTCTAACTATAAATAGTTTCTAACTTTCTATTAAAAACTCAATTGCAATAATAGATAATATATAAACTTTACTTTAGAGTTGAAAATTTTTCAAAATATTTTCTAACTATAAATGGTTTCTAACTTTCTATTAAAAATACATGACTTTTGTATACTCTCCTTTTTTTTTTTTTTTTTTTTTTAACCTTTCAATAGTATATTAAACTAAGTCCAATTGCAATAATAGATAATATATTCACTTTACTTTAGAGTTGAAAGTTTTTAAAATTTTGGCTTCACCGTTTTACTGTCTGTTTTTTTTTTTTTTTTTTTTTTTTTTTTTTTTTTTTTGTGTTTGTTAATGAAGTTTGATAAAATAAAAAAGCTTATTTAAATAACTAATTGATTGATTAATTTCAGGTTAATTGGTTATACGATGGTCAAGCTACCAATCCATATATGAATTTTATTGTCTTAAAGATAATAATTTGGTCTTTTTGGTTAATTTTTATACATATTTATGTCATTTTTTAGTAGATATAGGCCAATTTATTCTTTTTTCTTAACACAAATTAGCTGACAATTAGTTTGATAATCGATAATATATATATATGGCTTAAAATAGTCTTATATTAATTGTAAGTTCAGCCCCTAATCATAGAATCTTAGCTCCGCCCTGCAACTATATAAGATCATCTATCTACGCGAATCAGAATTCATTCATTCGTTGCAAATCTTCATTCATTGGTAGACTCAATTGCCTTGATAGGAGCTTTCTCATCAAAAGATCAATGCTATTCTAAGGAAATATGAATTCAAATAGCTCCCAGACAAGCCTATCCATAGAAGAAAGCACTCTACAGCAGCTATGCAAAAGAATAGCTGTTTGGAATTCGCTGACGATCATTAGATCTATCTACAGAAATACATGTGTCAAGAGGGTGAAACTGTGCTTAATCTGACTGATCTTTTGTAACTGACCTTGCCTTTTTGTTTAAAGGAAGAGTCAAATAGCCATGCTTTAGAGCGAACGGATTGTATCTGTATTATTTTTGCATGGCCTCAAATGGAGGGACACAGAAATTCCCAGAAAAATTGAATGGACAAGCACTTGGAGTTCGGCCTTGTTTGGTCAAGTTTCTAAAAATAATTAAGTACAACTTATAACATAATTGTAGATAGTTAATTGACATTTTTGAGAGCTTATTAAGGTTAAAAAACCAATTCTATTTAAGGAGGGTGAAGTTTAACTAATTAATGTACCTTTTATAATAATCCCAGTATGATTTTCTTTTGTGCAGTAGTAGTACCGCTAAGGAGGTTAAAGTGCAGATATGTAATTGTCTGCCATTTGAAGCAGTTCTAAGTACTTGACAGTTCCTTTCATCACATCTACATTGACAAACTAAGATTATTATATATATATATATATATGTAAATAAAAAAAATAGGATTCGATCCCGATACGGCCAGAGCGAGACTATTGATTTTATATAGGGTTGAGTATCTAAATATATCCATAAAGTTTACTTTTTAAGTAAATAACACCCGTTTTTTACTTTAGGTATATTAATCTCTCATAAAATTAAAAAATATAACAAACTAAGACTTTTCGGCAGTGAATCATTAAAAAAGTGCGGTTAACAAACCATGTGCAAGGCACATTACTAATTAATAATATTAAAGGTAAATTGCACCGATAACCTTTGAGATTTCAGTCAATGCCACTCAAATCCTGGTCAACGATTTTTTTTAATAATAACACCCCCTAATATTTTAAATGTCATATTTATCCATGATTATTTAATTTGATTTATTTACAAAATATTAGATATATTAATTGACAAAAATGCCCTTCATCAAACACACTACCTAACCCCCTCTCCTCAGTGTCATCGTCCTCCAACCACCACAACCACCGATCCAACCAAAATCGGCCACAATGTTCTCCACCAACCATGCTCGCCTATGCTAAGGAGTCACACGATACCTTTTCCTCACTCTATGTTCGCCTCTGCTCCTCCTATGTGTGTCGGTGTGTGCAGTTATATATATATATATATATGGTGTTCTGGGATCAATCGACAGCCTCGAGGAATGAGAGGTCGATGCCGTCGTTCAAGATGACGACGAGCGAGCCCGATTGCCTCCCCAGGTCTCAGATCCCTGCCATCAACGCCGCCGTGTTGAGCCCAAAATCCCAAATTTCAGTTTGTTGACCGTTACGACTCCAACACATCTTCGTCGGTAAGATCACTTCATGGAGCTCAACTTTGGAGTCAACAACTTCGATGGCGCTCTGGGATCTCTCGACGGCTTAGAGGAAGGAGAGGTCGATGCCGTCGTTTAGAGTGGTGGGTGGTGGCAGCGGCTCGAGGAAGGTTGAGTCGTCGTCATCCAAACACCTATGCTCTTCTTCAAAAACGCCGAAGATGAGGCCCCGCTAGCAAGGCCCTCTGCACACGATGAAAAACTGGCCCACGGATAGCAAAGATCACAAAGCTGACGGCTAAGCGAGTACTGTGTTACTCCACAGATGAAGGCGAAGCCCACAAAGCTACCGTCGACCACAAAATCAGTCACAGACTAACAGATTGAGTCTCCCAAGGCTCGTAAACATATATGATGGCAAGGCGTCCACTTACGGCGATGATGAAGCGGCTAGCTTGTTAGAAAAGCTCCGTCGATCCGTGGCCGGGATGGTATTCACTGCAGCTCAAGCCGCCGGAGTATGGAGAATTGGAATAAGTTCTGGACTCGGCCGGAAAATATGTGTAGAATTTACAGGCTTCGTGGGAATACCAACAGTGTCGTGGGATTGAAGAGAAACTATTGAATTCGGTTTGTTGGCGGTGAAATTGAGTTTGAGAGAGAGAGAGAGAGTTTCAGTGCTGCTGGTGGGTAAGAAAAAAGAGAAAAAAGAACTAGCGTCGATAGTGGCGGTGGCAGCAAGTGGGTATTAGCTTGAGATTAAAAGGTTATATTGGTCCTTTAAAATTAGTTAGAAATGGTTTTATTGGTAATTTTACACTTTTTATGTAATTGTTAACCGGTCAAAAGGTTAAATGGTCATTTGATGACAGAGGAGTGTCAATGAAAAGTTTTGAAACCTCAAGGTGTGTCATTGTCCAAAAAATTGTTGACCGGCATCTGAGTGGCATTGACCGAAACTTCAGGCGTGTCAGTGCAATTTACCCTTGTATTAAATATCGAAAGTACCTTTTTTCAATGGAAAATAAAGGTTGTTTAGTAAAGGTCATTATGGTCATTTTACAATAACTGAGATTTTTACTTTTTAAAAAAATAATTGAAGGAATGGCATTTTAGTATTTTCATTAATTTATTAATCGACGAATGACGGGATACCCTTGTTCACCCCTAAAATGAACTATAAGGGGTTTTG